GATAGGCGTGCACATAATGTAACATCGAGTATTTAACATTTCTAACATGCCTGTTATAGCAAACGCTCAATTTGCATGCCTAAGTTCCTAATAATGAATAGATAAAATAGCAAATAGAAGAACAACACACGAGCCAATACTTACACAATAGAAGGACACCAGACCCAGACAGAGTATAACAAGTGCAAATAAAAATAATGTTCCAATTAGTCTCAGTCCAGTTAGTGTTGCACTTTGGTTGGATTTGAGGCATTGTTTATGTTGCCTTTAAAAAAAAAAAAGAGTATGTGGGCATTAACTTTATGCGGAAGACATTCCAAAGTCCACCCGACAACAGCAACACTTCCTTCCATACATGGTGCGCCTGTGGGAAATCTCACATCTCTCTATCACAAGCCCTGGTGCTCATACCTCCAGAGTCTTTTCCTTATGAATTCATTAGCGGTGGTGGAGTAAGACCATGGAGACTTTATACACAAAACAGCAAATCTAAAGTTTTTAAGAATTATGGAAACTTAAAAAAAATTATGTTTTTAGGGCTTGCAGATATGGTAGAAGGCTTTTTTTTCCAGAGTTTTAGCAAAAATAAAGCATTTAATAAAAAATAAAAAAAGACGCTTTATTTTGACGTGGAGCCTTTTATCTTCTACATCCTCACTGAAGTCAACAAACAGGGAGCGCACATCGTCGGCTACTTCTCCAAAGTAAAGACCTGTTTCTGATGTTTCTGATGTTTCTGATGTTAGATCTCTGTTAAAGCTGCAGTGTGGACTCAGTTCTGTTTACATCCCTGTATGTGTTTGTCCTATTGATCAGTTGGAGAACAGAACCGTGTTACAGTTAAATCAAATGACTTCAGCAGAATCACACAGTTTATGTGGAGAGAACTTTAAACTAGAATCATTAACAACTTCAATCTTTCATTTTGTCCTGCAGGAGAGAGTCTCCTGATGGGAACAATGTGGTGTGTATTCTCACGCTGCCGCCTTACCAACGCCGAGGCTACGGGAAGTTCCTCATAGCTTTTAGTAAGTGAGACACCATAACGCCAGCCTAATAATGTGTGTGTGTGTGTGTGTGTGTGCAGCCGCCCTACAGCTAATGATTTAATACATTAAGAAGAGAACATTGAGCCAGCCTCTTGTTCAAATTCAAAAACATCAGCTCACTTTACACAAATGTTTTTCCATAAATGAACAGACAGCTCATGTTTTAAATGTTTAAATAGACACATTGGAAGGGTGTGTGTGATTATGGAGAGAGAGGCTCGCTGCCATCGCTCCATTTGCAGTGAAACTGTTGGACTATGTCTCAGGTTACGAGCTGTGTAAGCTGGAGAGTGCAGTGGGTTCTCCGGAGAAGCCTCTGTCTGATCTGGGGAAGCTGAGCTACAGAAGTTACTGGTCCTGGGTCCTGCTGGAGATCCTGAGGGACTTCAGAGGAACGCTGTCCATCAAAGACCTCAGGTAGACGCTCACACATCTTCCTTTATAACCACAATCCTCCAGGTAGTCCACACTGTTCTGGAGCTCTGATTGGTGCTCACATTAGACCCTCCTCCCCCTCCTCCCCCCCGCAGTCAGATGACCAGCATCACGCAGAGTGACATCATCAGCACGCTGCAGTTGCTCAACATGGTGAAGTACTGGAAAGGTCAGCACGTTATCTGTGTGACGCCCAAACTGGTGGAGGAGCATCTGAAGAGCGCCCAGTACAAGAAACCGCCGATCACAGGTCAGTGAAACAGCTGGAGATAATGTGTGTTGTCCTGGTAATGTGTGATCTCTTGTGGGCTGTGTGAGAGGAGAACTGTAGTGAAGTGAAGTCAGTCTGCTGGAGACGAAGATAAACCAGCTGAGACTCTTCATCACCACCCCTGCATCCATAAAAAGGAATAAAAGCGGAGTTAAATGTGTCGTTAGGCTCGATGGAGATGGTCGAACAACAGCAGCCTTCAAATGTTTACTTCCTGTTGGATCGTCTGTAGGCTGCCTGTAGTTTTTAGAGCACGTTTGGATACATCAACTTTATTATTATTATTACCAACCACACAGGATGTGTTTAACAGATTAAAACTTCATTACAATCTACAGTTAAAGATTAAAGTCACAGAAACATTAGGAAAACGTCCAAACCAGGTGTTTCCCATCATGCCCTGGGTCTCGCAGTCGGTGGAGAGAAACTGTGGCCGCCTCGATCTCAAGAGGTTATCGTTGCAAACAGTCAGCCATCAGTGGTTTCCTTCACTGTTACAGAGAGATTCTCTATGTACACACTGGATCACAGACCCTCTCTGTGTGTGAATGTTTGTTTTAGTGCTGATTTTGTTCTTTTTCCTTCCTTTAATTCCTTTATTTTCTCTGTTTGAAGGCCAGTTGCAGTGTGGATTGTGTTCCCTCAGTGGGTCGGGGGTTAATTGTTGGATATTTGTGTGTGTATGTTGTTTAATACTCATCTTGAATAACAATAAAAGGTCTTTGTGCCCGTTGTCTCTCACGCTGTGTGTCGTCTCCTCCGCAGTGGACACTATGTGTTTGAAGTGGGCGCCTCCTAAAAACAAACAGGCCAAGTTGTCCAAGAAGTGAGAGAGGAGGGGGCGGAGCCAGTGACGCCGCGTCCGTCCGTCACCGCCAGTCGACCCGTGCATATCGTTCTCCTTCATCTGCTGTTGTTAAAAACTCTCTGTATATAGCTGTTAGCAGCATCTGTCAGTATTTTCTTAAAATATATTTTAAAACATCTCTTTTTGTCGTCTCCTCGTTCCTTCAGTCTGTTGTATCTTTAAAGTTTCACACATCACAAACCACATTCACCTCAACAATAGAGCTGCACTGAAGAATCCATTCATTCATGTTTCCAACTATAACTATTAAATGATAATTAATGGATTTAGAAAAATACAAATGCTAATCTCAGTTCAACTGTGAATATTTTATAGTTTCTTCAGTCTTTATGACAACTAAACTGAATATCTTTGTTTTAAATGCAAACGAGGACATTGGGGAAATGACCAACATTTATGACCAAACAATCAATCAAGAAAAAGATCATCGCATAAATAACGAGAGGATTGTGTCCTGTTAATTAATCATTTAGAGTTAGATAATTTATAAATCGATACATTAATATGAAGAATTTAATAATCTTAAATGTTTTTGTATACATTTATTTAACACACTGTTGAAAGGGGAACGAAATTTGATTTTCCGAGTGGGGGGACACAATATTTTAAAAACTAACTCCTTCAGTCATGTTTCTAGTATTCTCCAGTTCTTTATTGTACTTTAGTTTACTGTCTTATTTTGGTTTGATGTTGTAAAGCATGTAGCAAACATTATCACCAATCTGTGTTTCACTTGTTAAGCTCAACTTCACTCCCAACAGTCAGCAAATTTACATTAATTCTGGAATATTGGTACGACTCATTAAGAGCACCACCCACGTGGCGGCCAGTAACTGAGAGTCACAGGTGGGGAGAATGAATAAAATGTCATAATTCAGTGTCCAGTATCAAAGTAATCAATTATTATATGTAACAGAGAACACTGTCTTTTTAGGCAGTTATAGAGAAATGAACCAGCAATTTGACCCAAAGACCCACAGGGCAAAATATCAACTCATCAAAGCTTCCAAACCATTTTCTTCGATCATTGGCAATTGATGAGGGATCTTGTAAGTGGATATGCGCTTATTGGGACCCAGTGAAGGGTTGCAGGATGGGTGTAACGCTTTCTTTGAGTAACTTACTGTTACTTCTACAAAAAGTCCTATGCCACTTTTCCTTTTTTAGACATCCTGGCTGGCCCTAAATTCCTAACACACGCACACACATCGCACATGGACACCGTTAATGTAATGAAAGCTCTGGTATTACATCTCTAAGCTACGGGACCAGGCAGAACAAACGGCCAAACTTACAGTGCAGATTATGAACTCTAGGGTTGCACAAAAACCAGATAAGGGATTAAGCCGGGATATGTTGGTTCCTGGCTGAATTTTAAGCCTCAAGTGCGGATTGCATGAAAGCAGCCAAAACTTTATCCCTGCCAAGTTATGGCGATTTATTCTATCAGTTAGCCTGCGTCCAGACCAGGCTTAACAGCCAGGCTAAGATTAAATCCTAGTGATCCCTGTATTCCCTGTCACCTGTGAGAATTAATGTGGTTTTACAGCATGTCCATGTCTTTCTAAGATGTTGCATCATTTAATTATCCTGCATTAAAATAATTACATTATATTTTCATTTCTCATTTCATTAAATTTGTTGGCTTTTGTAATTGCAACAGTCTTTTTTATTGATTATGGTGGTATTTATTCAAGTTTATCCAGTGTTTAATTGCTATGCTATACGCTTTCCAAAATGCATAAATTATTTTTTATGCAGTAATTGAGATTACAAACACAGCTGTGAAGTTGAAACGGTTTTCAATGAATCTGAGTGCTCAGAGAACTTCAAACAGTATATAATTATGGCATGCCGTTTAGAAATGAATCTTTGATATATAGATGATCTTAATGAATATAGAAACTTTGAATATTTAATGACTTTCGAATATATGATTAACTTTGAATATATATAATCCTTTTGAATATTTATGCTTTGAATATATTAAAAGATTTTGAATATTGATGACTTGAATATATAAATGAATTTTGAATTTAGAAATTGATATATTAAATGATTTTGAATATTAAATGAATCTTTGAATATATTACATGATCTTGAATATTGAATTAATCTTGATATAAAATGAATCCTTTGAATATAAGAATGAATTTGAATAAAAATGACTTTGTATATATAATGAATCTTGAATTATAAATGAATTGACTGGTCATCAAGGGCACCAGCTGCCATCTGGTAAGAAGTGAGAATGAGTCGTCCAGCTGGAGACTTGTGGCCAGCAATCCGAGCACGAGGAATTATTAACTCCTTGGCAAGTGCTGTATGGCCAAAATCCTTCCATAGTCACCCCAATACCGTTCTTCCTGACGAAGAAGTTCACATCCCTTTTTAATGTGGCAGGCCGACTACAAAAGGCCTCAAGGCAATCCTGAAAAGAAAAAGCAAAAAAGTTTCCATTAAAATGAATTGTAATTTTCACTGATCCATTTTGTGAAAACCAGCTAATTCAGAAGCTTCATTTGATGAAGACTACAACTATTTTGATTTCATTCAGTTTCTCCATTTTATCAGTATACTCCAAGGTTACTCCATATATTCAAGTCACTCCATTCAAGGTTCACCATAATTCAAGGTTCACTCCATATATTCCAGGTCCTCCATAATATCATGTTCATTCAGTATATCAACGTAATGTCTGAACGGATGCTATATATGCATAATATATATATGACTAATGACTAAGGGGGAAGCTTCAGCTTGGGTCCTAGTGCTCGACGGAGTTTTCTGCTTTACTATATGTAACATTGTTAGGACGTAAAAACTGCAGGGGGACCAAACGGCTTTAGAAAATGCCCGTCAGTCCTCTCTACAACACCACTCATCTTTTCTTTACCTCCATCTGCCACTCCTTCCGTTGCTGACAAGATCAAGCCGCTCCTGTCACAGGTACTTCCTTTGTGATCGTCGTGGTCGCAGCTTCTTCTTCTGTCCATGTAAGTTAGTAAGAGCACTTTTTCTGTTTGAATCCTCAAGACTCTTTTGGTCATCTTGTTAGTTTAGTTCTAGTGAAAAGCAGAAAACTCTAATAACGCTCAGCTGAGAACCAACAATGGAGAAGAGTTTCCTCAACTTACTGTCAGTGTGTCTACTGTTCAAAGTAATCAAGTACTCACTGCAACTCAGAGTACTTCACTTATTGATTTCGTCGTCCTTTTAGAGCCACTTATCATGTAGTTGACGTAGAACATGAAAGTATCCAGTGTACAATGCCGCTCCAGTTGTTGTATTATTAATTAGTGGATGATTATTTTATGCATAATGTACATAACTTATGTTGAATTTGCCTGCAAGGGAGCCAATATGGAACTACTTCAAAATACTTTGCTTGCTTGAATGTAAAATAATACATTCTGTTTTATAAACTGATCCAGTTTAAAGTAATCAGAGTAAACGTCAGATAATGCTCTCTGAGCCATAATGGACTGATAGTAAGGTACGCAGCTGATGGCATTCTGCTCTCATTCTTCCTCAACATGACCAACTGAGAAACCAACAGCTCTCCTCTGGCCAATAACAACACTATTTGACCATGTATTGATTAAGCTTTTTATTAATAACTGTCTAAAGATAATACAAACATCAGGCAAAGAACCTGATTTCAAAGACTATCTCTTATTTATGATATACATATATATATATTATGATGTAATGATATATAACACAGAACAACTGTATAAAAGTTCCCTAAACAGGCAAACTGCCAGTTCAGTCAAGAATCAACTTCAACTTTTTGCAGTTACTGAGTTCAATATTTGTTGATTGGTAATTGGATATAATATGTATGATATTGTACTCAGTCAGGGTGTCAG